AAAAAAAAAAAGGATAAAAACTGTGAGGTAAACTGCTATTATATTGCCCTAATATAAAAATGAAAAAGAACAATCGATTTTCCAGGTCTTGGTCATGATGAAGCATTCCCTTCCCTTACTTTATTTATGAAAGCCCTTACTTTAAAGTTAATTATGTACCCATTAAAAAAAAAAAACAATGTGTGGACTTATTAACTTCAGTAAAACAGTTACACCTATGGGAAATTATCCGACTCTCACACTGCGCAAATCCCCCTAAAGCAAAAGAAAATGTTAAACTATTGTCTTCATATTTAGGCCATGCCAGCCATTTGTAACTTTGTTTGACATTATATAGTGCCAAATTAGAATCAAAATCATCAATTGTTATTTTAACCACTCGTCTCTATTAATTGATAAGAACAATAAACTAGTTGGCACCAGACTAACAGAACAGCCTCCAAAATCCAGACAAAACAAATCTAGTATTGCATAAGGTCTATCGGCGCTTTGGTATAACTGAAAGAGATTAGCGAGCATTACCAAGTCTGTTGGAAAAATGGCTCACATTTAGTATGCAAGTGAAGGAGTGAGCGACCGGTCGCAAGGTTTGGGCGACCGGTCGTTTTTCACAGATTCGAAGGCTGGAGAAATCGCAGAAAGCGACCGGTCGCAATGTATCCATAAGGTATCAGCGACCGGTCGCAATGTATCGGCGACCGATCGCCAGTGTTGCTGTGCTGTTTTTTTCCATGCGTTTTTCAAGGTGTCTTCACATGTGTCGGTTCCCTACCTAATCCCTCGAGCTTCCAAGGAGTTTTATGGGTTCTAGGATGTCTAGCAAGGTGCTGGAAAAGCTGGAGCACCATTGAATGAGGATAGTTGACTTGTTTCAAAGAGTACCTACCCTATAGCTCTATCCTTGTGTGTGTCACAAAGTCCATCAACAACAAGATCATTAGGGGAGTGAGTGAAAGTGTTTGTCCATTTTCACAACATTATATAGTGCCAAATTAGAATCAAAATCATCAATTGTTATTTTAACCACTCTTGTCTCAATTAATTGATAAGAACAATAAACTAGTTGGCACCAGACTAACAGAACAGCCTCCAAAATCCAGACAAAACAAATCTAGTATTGCATAAGGTCTATCGGCGCTTTGGTATAACTGAAAGAGATTAGCGAGCATTACCAAGTCCTGTTTTTTAATTCCAAATGTGCCGCAGTTTAGACTCTTATGCTCAGCCTCATTTGGCAGCCCCTTAATCAACCAAGTCACAACAAGCATACCTTCACAACCTTGAATCGCCATCATCGGTACAAGAAATGCCGGCAAATGTTCCTTCAAACCCCACATTTCACCTCCATCTCTTGCTGTCTACTATATATAGGAGCTCCAATGGTAGACTAACACAAGGCACTTGCACTTTGAGGTTCTTCTTCATCAAAAGATGGAGAACAAAAAGTTTTTAGCTTTCCAGATAATATATCTTCTTGGCTTAAGTTTCGTGTTGTATTTATCAGTGGCAGTTGCTAATGAAGAGGCAGTGCTGGAACCGCTAGCTGAGACAGATGGGGAGCAGAATACCATGCAAACTTATATTGTTTGGGTGAAGAAGCCAGTCCAGAAATACTTTTTCTCAAAATCTCATGAAGATTTAGAGAGTTGGTATCACACATTTTTGCCCACAACTATAGCAAGCTCAAACCAGTTGAAGAAGCCACGAATGGTTCACGCATACCGCAATGTGGCCACTGGGTTTGCAGCAAAATTGACACCGGAGGAAGTAAAGGCAATGGAAAAGAAAGAAGGGTTTTTGTCCGCTCATCCAGAGCAAATTCTGCCTTTGCATACTACTCATAGTCCTAACTTCTTGGGGCTGCACCAAGGATTGGGAGTTTGGAAGGGATCAAACTATGGTGAAGGTGTGATCATTGGAGTTCTGGATACTGGGATATCACCTGATCATCCTTCATTTAGTGATGAAGGAGTAGCCCCTCCTCCAGCTAAATGGAAAGGCAAGTGCGACTTCAATGGAACAGTTTGCAATAATAAGCTTATTGGTGCAAGAAATTTCCAAGGTGGGCAAACTACAGGAGGCCCTCCAGTTGACGATGAAGGTCATGGCACCCACACATCCAGCACAGCTGCAGGAAATTTTGTGAAAGGTGCCAATGTGTTTGGAATGGCCAATGGCACAGCGTCTGGCATGGCACCTTATGCTCACCTGGCAATTTACAAGGTCTGTTCTGAGGAGGGTTGTGCTGAAG